TCTTCTGCAGATCCTTAATTTCCTGACACATCCAAGGAGCAGGACGATGACGGAAAGTGGAGGTTTTGAGAGGAGCGTGGGTATTGAGTATATTGAGAAGATTGGTGGTGAGAATATCAACCATGGTGTCGACAGAGGAGCAATGATATATTCCATTTAAATCCAATGTTACTAGATCAGGTAATATATATATATATATATATTGATAAATCTTTATTTATTAAACACATTTTAGAAATCTGTCATGATACAATATATATATATATATATATATATATATATATATATATATATATATATATATATATATATAAAGGTAACTTTAGGCTAGTTGAGCAGTACAAAAATGGTTCAGATATAGTTTCAATAACAAATAACTTTTATTATTACAAATTAAAGATTTTTACAATATAAATAATATCATTTATTTTCACTAGGGCTATTTCAAACCCTTATATTAAAATTCATGTTTTACATTTTAAATTAATGATTTATATAAGAAAAAACCCGATATATGATATCCTCAAAAGGTGAGAGACATTATGGAAAGGAGAGCATGCAACTGCTCCACCACACTTTTAAGAAAGCTAGCAGTTTATATTATCTTGCAGCCTTAGTGAAGTGGAGAAGTTAGAATTAAAGCAATATTCGCAGGAGGCAACATATATCATTACATTGCATTACAGAAAACATTGCGTTTTCGAAACCTTTCATGGAAGCAAAGCTACTGGTTTATAAAACTATATTGAGACCAATCGTCACTTAAGCAGGTAAAATATCTGTCCGGACACATGTATGCGAGAAGATCCTCCGAATCTAGAAAATGAAGGTCACTCGGCAAATATTCGGGTCGTTATGTATAAACAGTCAATGGAAAATAAGAAATAATAGAGAACTCCAAAAAGTGTATAAGGAACCAGGTATAGTCAGTCACTAACGTTAAATTAAGTCGTATAAGGTGGTTTGGGCATATAGAAAGGATGGGTGAAGATAGATACCCAAAAAGACTATTATATGGAAAACCAGAAGGAAAAAGAAGCGAAGCCAGGCCCAGGTGGATTGATGATGTAAAGGACGATTTGCAGAAGATGGGAATTGGACAATGGAGAAACCGCTGATAGAGAGGATTGGAGAGGCGTTGTTGTTAAGGCCAAGGCCCTACAAGGGCTGTAGAGCCACGGAAGAAAGTAAGTACGTTTTACATTTTTATTTATAAAAACATCTGACGACGTTTCAGGCTCTTTTGCCTATTGTCTAGTCCAAAGTAGAAATCTTTAAATGCATAACAAATATTATAAAACATTTATCAACACAACAACATTACAATACAAAATTAAAACATTTCTAATATGTGTGTACTGCTGAAACTCAACTAGTAAATGGGTGACTTTCCTATCAGCACACAAAACTCGACAGTCATAAATTAAAAAAATATAAAACTTATCATTTATCACATAATTTTGTAACAATTATAACCGAAACTATTTCATAACTAGTTATGTATACCCAACTTGAAAAACATCATAATAAGAACTGAACAAAAAATATATTTTATTAAATATGTTTTTTCAACAACATTCCGGGCATCATTGGTTTGTTATCAAGTTAACTAGAAATAAAGCATAATTCATTAAAAAGAAATAATGGTGATTGATTTCTTAAGTTACTATTTGATTAAAATTACAAATATTATTGTGAGAATTTATCTTATTTAAAAAATATAACTTCAATTAAATGTTTTTTTTTTTCATTTATGAAATTTCAGAACAGTATAAAAAACAAATATACATCCAATCAATGTGAGAAATAGTAATACACTGACATGAGAACACTTGTAGAGAAACCACCCATTGGTAGCAGTCCTATAATATTTCTAAATTATGAGATCACGGGGCCAAATTCTTTTCAAACGCCTCGGAGGATTGTCAGGGATTAACAAGGAAGCAACATTAGAAACGGGAGGAATCGGATGGTTATGAAGATATATATATGAGTCTTTCATGATTGATTGCAAGCTTAGAGCCTTCGTCTGGTATGTTTTGGAGAAAGCGGAAACACCGAACAGTTTATTATCGTTTCATTCTTTTATGAGGATTCCAAGTGAGATCTTTGTCCAGGTGGAGTCCAAGATATCGGATTTGTTCAACAGGGATAGTAAGGGTGTAATTAAAGGATACTGTAGGACAGGAAGTCATATGTTTACGGCGGAGGGTAAAGGTGATTTAATGGGATTTATGGCAATTTATTTTAATTCTCCAGTTTTGACAGTATTCTTCAAGACTTGTGATGTGTGATTGAAAAGCATGGTATGTAATTGATGAATCGTTAGTAACTAATAGGATACGCGTGTTATCTGCATCATAACCTATGAAATTGTTAGGATGGGTTGGGATACACAGTGTAAAGGATTGGACCAAGGATACTACCGTGAGGAACACCAGTATATTGAGAAAAGAGGGATAAATAGGCATTATTGCTATTTACTTTGAAGTGTCTATCGGTAAAGTAGAAATCGGTGATGAGAAGGTATGTAGGGAGATGGAATTTACTGAGTTCGTAAAGCAATCTCGGGTGCTAGACTCGATCAAATACCTGTTCAAAGTTGAGGAAGACATCAGTGCAATACATCTAGCCCTCCAATGCAGAGGAGACAATGTCTATCACACGATGGTATTGCTGGATAGTGAAATGAGATGAGCGGAATTCAAATTTGTGATCAGTGATTATGTGATTAAAATCTAGGATGGGATACATGCGTTTTAAGATGAGTTTTTCTAGAATTTTGCCCATGAGGGGTAGAAGAGACATAGGATGGTAAGAGGATGGATACTCTGATGGGTTTTCGGGTTTATGTATTATTTTGAAAAAAAAAAAACCTATGTTCCAAGGGTCAAGAAAATATGTAGAACGGAGTACGGCGTTATAAATATAAATAAGAAATATAATGGCTTTTAGAGGAAATAGTTTAAGGATATGGGATGTGATTAGGTCGTGGTCTGGGGCTTTGCGGGAGAATAATCAGTGAATGTTTGGATATTTCTGAAGATTGAAATGCTTTAGGAACAGCAGTTTTTTGGAGTGGAATATCCAGTTCTGCATCAATACATCCAAGGTAATTTGGATTAAGAATCAATTAAATTTAAATTCAATAAAATGTTATCCATTTTCTTCAGCATATTCAAAGTTACTTTTTTAACTATAGCTATGATACAAAATAATAATATTGTTTTGGTAATAGTTGACTCAACATATTAGGAAATTTTAATTATTTTGTTTTAAATGATAAAAACGAAAATCTGATCTGACCAGTCCAGTTTAGAAATTACATTAGAACTTTTTTATATATTGTATACCCATAAGATAAAAATTAGTTCTTTTAATAAAATTCTTTATTGGTGAATTTTCAGATAAATTACTGTTCAGTTGAAGCAATGTATTCAGTTACAGCCTTTAAAATATTTAATACCAATCTGCATTTCTCCATGATATATGGGCCCTGTGACATATACGTGCATTACATATATTGCCCCATTTGTCATCCAACATTGGCCGCACATAATGGGCAGACGGTCTGCAGCATCAGTCAACAATCAAGGTGCAACTGCATTGATATTGATAATTATTTAATCACATCATATCAACTTTCCAGCTTTCATTCATAAGTCTTTTAACACCAGATTTATTAGGAAAGCGAACAGGAACTGTATTCAATAGCGACAGATTTTTTTTCTACAGATATTCAGAATGAATTTTTAATCCAAATCATTTTTTCATTTATGTAAAAAAAAAGTGTTTGTACTATTACTTTATAAAAAAGTTTATCTGCAAACGTATACTATTTCCTGAGAAACAGATTTTTTATTAGTCTTATAGAATAGAATAGAGTAGTTTACTTTTTTTGTCTAAGGATATTTCTGTATAAATAAACATAAAGATATTGTTAACAATGTCAGATCTTGAGTGTAGTACTGCGTTCAAACACAATAGTAACAACATCCACACCATTAACTATGACTAATATAATAACAGATTAGTAAACTATATATATATATATATATATATATATATATATATATATATATATATATATATATATATATATATATATATATATATATATATATATATATATATATATACAATTAGCAAAACTTTTTTTAAAAATAGTCCAGAGGTATAAAACAAATAACAATATAAATAAGCATTAATATATGTTTATATGAATAACTATACCACTTAACAATTCAATGAACAACCCTGTATGAAATAATACAGTTGATTTAATTTTTTCTTAATGCCTATTTTCAGTATCTCCTCAACACTAACATCTTCTCTGGATTCAGTAATATATATCTTCATGTACTTATTTCTTGGTTTGTTAAATTTAATGTAATGAATCAAAAAATGAGTTAGTCAGTTCCAAGGCAGTTACATGCACTACAAATTTCACTAGATTCAATATTAGAGTCTTATAGGATTCTGTAATAAAGAAAAGTTAACATTTTAGATTTTGAATACAATGAAAAATAAAAAAATATATATAGGAAGAACACGAATTCATATGCGATTTTAACACTCACAGCGTTTTTATAATAAATCTGATTTATTTGTTTATCGGATAATAATGTTTACTACATGGTAATTCAATAAGAGTAAAAATAAATAACATATATGTTATTATATAAATCTGTGCATTGTTAATTAATTAATTAACTATAGAAAAAAATTCTCAGCAATATATTCTATCAAACAGAACCATAATTCCAGTACATTTCAAATACATTTTTTTTTCTATTCACATATTTTATCGTACCTGTCCCGACAGTGGCAATCAGCAGATCTGTTGTGTTAAATTGAATGCTTGGCATTATAGGAATGATGAAGGAACAGAAACAAGTAATATCACCCCTTTCTAGTCATTGCTTATTCCTTGATTAATGGAAGAAGATCTCTCATCAACCTCCTTTTCAGTCGGCTCCTGGTGGGGATGTCTGCAGTGGCGAAATCGTTTATAAGTCTGTTCTGTCCGTATATTATACTATGAAATCGGAAATATTGTGTACGTATACGTTGGTCAATAGTTGGTAGTCGGTAAGCAAAGTTTTGTTATTTACATACCAGAGAGAAGCTGTTATTAGTCTTAATATTTTGAGTTGAAATCACAAAAAATTTTTGCTAAACTATATTCGTGAAAAGCGTATTTGGGTTTGGGGACAAATGGATTTCAATAGGTAACTTTATATATTTAGTTTCTGTCTAGTTTTCAGTTTTTATAAGAAGAAATGTGGGTATACAATTTCAGTGGCTAGTTTAATGAAGGTATTTTCATTTTGATGTGTGGGCCCCAGGTCATCCTTCTGTCCAATATTTCTCCAATGTAACGTACTGTTTTTGTCTTAGGAATTAAGTTCTCTCCGATACAAAACTGAAGAGTACGTGTCTCGTAGAACTACAAATGTTATAAGATGTGATTTGGTCGTAATTTAATATTATTTTCCAAAGTGAGTATTAATTCTGAAAATTTAGTAAGTTTATAGTAAATTAAGTAAATAATTTTACAGTCAAAACAATAATATAGTTCAGTGGTATTCCACTTGTCTCTGTTGAACAAATCCGCTACCTAGGACTCCACTTGGATAAACGTCTCCGCATGCTAGACTAAAACGACAAGAAACTGATCGTTTCCGACAGCTCCAACACCTATTAGACAAACTATAAGCTTTCAATTAATTACAAAAGACTCGCCTACTTAACCATAATAAGACCTATATGGACATACGGAGTTGAGCTGTGGGGCTCTACCAAACCATCGAGTTCCTATCGTATCCAATTCTTACAATCCAAAATCTTTCGTAAAATACTTAATGCTCCATATTTTTTCACAAATAAAACCATTAATAAAGACCTTAATTTTCCATATGTCGCTGATTTAGCCCGAATCAGATATCTATCCTTGTATGATAAACTCCAGTCCCATCCGAATCCACTTGTTTCCAACCTTACTTATTCCTCGATTCCTCATAATCACCCTAGGCGTCGGAAAATAAGATGGCCTCGTGATCTTTTTACTTAGATTAAATAGGGAGTGCTACCACTGGGTAATCTCTTCAACTCTGTTCATGTCATTATTTCTAATGTGTGCATATTTACAGGTTGTATTTTTTATACTGTTATAAAATTCATTAAATAAATAATAAAAATATGCAAACAATAAAAAAAAATCTATTAACTTAATTCTTAGAGGGAGGTTTTGCTATTCATATCTTAGACCACAAGGCTGAGAACAAGCATATCAATTTATGATTCCTGAATAGTATAGACCATAAAAAGCCTTTTGAATTTTTTTCTCCCAAATGCCCCTATCTAAGGGTGGACCTCATTAATGGACTAAGTTTAGCTCCAAACTTCGGAGCAGGTAGAGTGGATTTTTTATAAATTCCTAACAAAAATCTTAGCTATGAATAGGTTGAGGGGAGTGTAAAACTCTCATAAAAACATATAGTTGAGAATATAATATTATTTTTATTTGAAAAGAATAATTATTATAGGAATAATGAAATTTTCATTACACTTAAAGGTCATTTAACAGTCTGTGAAAGCACCATAACAAGCAATGAGGAATAACAAAACAATAAATAAATACTTAGTTCTAAAATTCTTAAATTAGGGTAAAAAATATATTATTAAGAAGTGAATATTCTTAACTTAAATTAAACAATATTATGTTTTTTTACAGCAGTTAGTTGATTTCAATGATATTGAAAATGCTGGAAGGCGTTTGTCTTGTAGTTCTGCATGTAATTCCAGCAATATTCTTGCAAACACATTGTAGAAGCAGGTAGTAAAATTTGTACTTGATAACCTGATTAAAATTTGCATAGATTTCGTTCTGCTTCAGATAATTGGATTTCCTCACTACTTCTTCAGTACTTGAAACTTTTTATTGGCTAACTAACTTGTTTTTTTTTATATATAGGAGCATTTCATTCAAGATTTTTGAATGAATGGATTGCATGTTAATTCTATTGCTTAATGAGAAAGCCATTCAATAAAAAAACTATATGTTCAAAGTCATAATTATTACGTGACAAATGATTATAAAGCATTATTAAATAGTTCATTGTTAGCCGGTTTCTCTTGGCCTATAAAAGAGTGGAATAGGCGGGTTTTTTTACGTGGATAAGGAGTTATACAAAATTTTAAGAGAAAAGGAATTCTAGAAAGTGGCAAAATGAGCAAGAAATGAGTTATTCAATAAGGGAGGAATTTGGAAATTCTTAAATAATAAGAAATCTGAGAAATCTATTTCTTGAGAATAATAATGAAAAATGAAGCTAGTAGATATGGGTGGATTCGAAATATTAGAAAGCCGAAAAAATATCGAAAGAAATTCGAAATTGAGATGGTATATGATCAAAGGCATTGAAGCAAGGTATTTTTGATAATATGGTTCAAAGTTAGTCTTCACTAATATCAATATAACCCAGATCGTCGAGAACATGTAATGCATGCTGTATTTTTGCTTTGTTAAATGCCGATAGGAAAATTAAAAAAAAAAAATATGTACTGGTTTAAAGAAGGTAATACGTCTGCCTGTTAAAAACGATCCATTAGTTTAACCATCTATTTTTATAAAATTATCCTCAGAAAATATAGAAAACTTTCAAACTTTTATTATCTCTTTAATAAGTTGTTCTTTGCACACAGAGAGGGATGTCTTGAAAATATTTTTCTTCTTTATGAAGGTTAAAGCTTTAACTCTAAATTTTAAATTCATTTCTGCTCTCTCTTCCTGTGAACCCCGACTTACCTTTAGGCACTATACGGGCGTAAAAAAAAGGTAACTGTCTAACGAACCTAAAAAAAAAAAAAGCATTCTAAAGTACAAGACATTTAATCTCATTACTTCTTTGAGGTAAGACCTGCGAGGATTTTTACAACGTGGTGATAAAAATATCTTTTAATATAATAATTATACAATTTCTTATAATGTTTTTATAGCTATTATACAACATTTAAGCAGTTTACATTAGTTGAAGATTTCAAACGAAATATAAAATCTAAATATTCCATGAAATAAATAGAGTCAGTCAAGTAAAGAAAAAAATAATATTGCCTCCAAAAACTATTGCAGGTAATCCTCCATTGTTCTGATTTATCTTTCCTTAGTTCATGTTTTGTTTTAATATAATTTTCTTTTGTTTTAAGTCACTCATTTTTCCATCGACAACTGTTCTCATCCCAATATTTTAAGCCTTACTTATAATATTTTTAGAAATTATATATTATTTTGAGACATCTTAAATAATGAGTACACATTTTTTTAAGATTCCTCCTGATAATGTAAGAAGTTAGAAAGAAAAAAAGACTGAAAATTAAGGATGATATTTAGTAGACAGAGGAAGTATTTATTTCACATCATAGAAGAAACGGAAAGAAATCTAGACATAAGATTAAATAATGGTGAGAAAATATTAGAAACGTTGGATGAGATATTCACCGATCACAAATTTCAGAAACCTTCTCTGCTGGAAATGAAAATGTTAATATGATTGCAGACACAAGGCATCCAATAGTATGCGGTATCGGACCTTTGCTTATTCTCCTATTATATATAGGGAGGGGGCTGGGGTAGCCGTACGGGCTAAGGCGCTTGCAATAGGTAATCAAAGTTAAGCAACGTCGAGCGTGGTAAGCACTTGGATGGGTGACCGCCCGATTTGGATCACCGTCCACTAGAGAAAGCCATGCTGCCCGAGTCTCCCCCCCCCCTCGGGTATGTGATACCCGTCAGACTATTGGAGGCAACTCACACCGACCGGGCGTAGGACTAATGACCCTACCCCGGTACTTAATCGGGAATCGGGGTGTGGTCTACCAGGAGGTTAGTAGCCCCCCTGAGCTTCGGTCCATGGACAGTCTGTTTCGGAGAAAGAAATATAGGTGCTCGTGCGCCTGCTGACTCCTGGCAGTCATAATCCATGGATCTAGACCGATTTGTAACTGGCCTTGAACCCGAGTGAGTCGGTGGGAAGGACACTGCCAGATTGGCCCCAAAGAGATCGGCTTTTTAACTACGCATGGCCTACCGCTGCACACTGGATATCATGGTTCGTAGCAACGTGAGGTTGGATGACCCCCTCCAGGCTATCTAAGCTCCGGAAGCAACATAAGTCTGTAAGGAGACCACATCTCTCGGCCAAAGATCTTCATGGTCTGTAGTGCCAACCGAAATATACAGATATATATATATATATATATAGAATAGAATAGAATAGAAAAATAATTTTATTCTGGGACGAAGTCCCTTCAGAATAACAAAAAAGTACAGAAATTAAAATTTTACATCTGGCCAGATAAAAACAAACATAACAAATTAAGATAATGATAGGTCATTAAAGAAAAGAAAAGAAAAAAAATATTGGTTATACATACTATATACAAAATAAAATATAAAAATCTATATAAAAAACTCTTGAAACCATACTAAGATATTTAAAACTATGTACGATGTTAAAATATAAATAAACCCTTTTAGAAAAAATAAAAAATACAGAAAAAATAAATGTATATTCTTCTTAACAGTAAAATCTGTTTCTGTTGAAACAGAAAAAAAAAAAAAAAAGAGAAAAAGAAAGTCGAATCTATAATAAGTATTCAGGTCATGAGCTATATGTGAATATGGTCTTATATATAATGTGTAATTTTACATAAAAGATTAGCTGGTGCCTGACTGTTTTTGGGACAGGAATTGGAATAGGAGGGTTTTGAATGTAGATAAGGATGAAGAATGTCGAATTTTGATTGGAAGGGAATTCCAGAAACTAACAGAACGTGCAATAAAGGAGTTTTGGAACGAGGCAGATCTGTGAGAAGGAATGTAAAGGTCGGAAGGTCGAGATCTTGTGGAGAGGGAGTGGACTGAGGACTTGAATTGGAGAAGGTTGTAGGCGTAGGAAGGACGATGATTGTTGATGATATGATAGAGGAATGTACCTAGGAAATATTGTCTTCGAATGGAGGGGAAGAGCCACTCTAACTCAGTGTAATGGTGAGAGA